TAATTAATGACAGACTTTTCATTTTTGGGTGAACTATCCCTTTAATGGATGAACGAAAATATTGAGAGAATATTTCAAATATCCTCATTTCATTTCCGAAGATGAACTCAAGTCTTTCGTTTTGGAAAGATAATATAATTTACATTCTTGGGTGAACTAACGTTTTAAAAGTGCTTTTCAAGTAATAACATTTTATATTTCTGTTTGATTCTCAGACAAAGCTATTGAAAGGCTTCCGAAGACTCGGAGCACAGCATATGAGCCACGTTGAATACTTTTATGGTACTTTTATAGTATTTTTGTATTTTTAAAGTTTGGCAGTATAAATCACCACCACTTTCCTTATATAAAAAGAGCAGCTCTGGTATCCCGCTTTAACATTTGATTTTGCGCTGAAGAATAAACTAATGGCATAAAGGCACATGGTGATGACAATTTTCATTCTGTGTGAAGTATTTGTTTCACAACAATAATGTAATTCTTTATGGAATGTGCATTACGGAATATTATAGCAGCAACTGACACTTCAGAGAGGACAGAATCCATCCACAGAAAGCTGCAGCCAGAATACACACACACACTAAACAGAATGAAACACACATTTATAGCTCAGTTCTTTTCCACTCCTAAATTCACTTAAAGAAATGAATTCTGCAGCACTTAGAACAGACAGAGTTTGGCGTCTGGACACAACAGCTATAATCACAACACACACACCCTCAAACCCACTGGAGCCATTACGAGGAGCAAAAAAGCAGGAATGTGAGGGAAAAATGAAGAATTCCTGGCATGTCATTTTCAGGAGGCTTTAATTATCCATCTGAGAAAAACACATCACACTCTTCTTTCATACACACACACACACACCTGTATCTCTGCAGGAAGAGGAGCTTGTCACATTCAGATGAGGTTCCTACCTGCAAAACAGAGAAACAGACAGTTAGTTTGTGAATTAACTCAATGTCATTCAACAGAAATGCCAAAGAAAGCATCAAGAATCAACAACTAAATACAACACAGACACTGATTGACAGTTTTAGCAGCTGAAAATA